GACTAATTAAACAACTGCAATCACTTTCTTAGAATCTTAAGATCAATTATGTAGACGGAAGAGAGGAATATAATAATGATGACTTTAAATATCTAAAGGCTCCAGGCTTTATCAAGGTACAGAAGAAACACTTGGAAATGATCTAAACCTCTCTGAATGTCCCACTGTTAATTATTCATCTCCCGAGGAGATGCTGGTCACATCAAAACAAGTGACCAAACTGCTAATAAGCACCATTTTTGTCTCCATTTCACGTAAACTAAAATCTGGTTTAAATTTCAGAACGGCATTCGTATTTTAGAATAAAACAGGGATGGTTTCTCCCATGTTTTTTTTTTTTTTTTTTTTTTTCAAATGGATAATTGCCTTCATGAGCTTTCACAGACAGCTTAGCAACCTTTTAACACACGCGCACACGCTGCACGGAGCGGCGGAACGTTTCTGAAAGGGGTTTTATACCTTTCCCGAAGAGCTGCTGACAGTAAACCTCAAGCAATACAGGCAGGGGCTGTAATGGGCACTTGGGTGTCGTTAGTAAAAACACTATTCAGAGTTTGCTGGTCAATACGTGTTCACATAAAAGGGCAATGTTCTAATATTCATAATCCCAGGGCCCACAGGGCAGGGTTTTAATGAAAGTCTGTACAGTTCTGGTCTCTGCAACATCAAAGAGGCCAATAAAACTCCTCTCACATGCTGACAGGCAAAAGTCAGACGGTGAAAAGGCCCCGCGCAGCCCCCAGCTTTGCCTGGGCCAGGCAGCTCCTGGCCTGGGGGGGTGTTGGGGAAGGGGCACGGAGGCTCCCTCGGCCCCCACCGCCGCTGCCCAGGGAGAAGCCGCGTGGTTCTGCTACGGCCTCGCGCGGGGGATCCGGACCAGACGCGCGTCGCTGCCGAGGGCACCCCGGTGACGCGGGGCAGGCGGCATCCTGCGCGCCCCTCCAGCGACAGGATGCAGCTGCTGCAGTGTTTTCCAGGCTGCAGGCTCCTGCCTCTGCAAAACAAGCTGGGTGAGGATGAGGGGGGAGCCACGGCGGGGAAGAAGGGCACCATTTAACGCCTCTCATTGCTAGTCAAGCCGACATCCTGCGGAGGCGCGGGACGGCACGGATCCAAGCACCAGGACGGTTGGCAGCAGCGGCTCTCCTGGGGCAGCCCCATGTCCACTCGCCCTGCAAGGTCCTTGTCCCCCTCCCCTGCCTCTGTCCGGCTCCATCTCCTCCCGGGGGACGGAGCACCCAGGGCAGAGCCAGCAGCCCCCTCCCCGCTACAAAAGGGAGGGCGCTGGGGTTGGAGGGGAGCTGAGCTTTCCCTAGGCAGACGCGTTAGGAGCCGCAAAGCTCCTCCCTGGGAAGTTTATGAACCAAGAGCACTAAAAGCGCCTTCCTCCCAGGTAGGATGATTTACTCCAGCAGCAAGTACCAGGCAATACGGGCTGATGCCGACGAGCTCCGGGCACGGGCGGTGGGTACGGCGGGGCGGGCGTCGAGTCGCTGCGCCGCGCGATGATTACACGCAGGCGTCCCGCTCTGCCGCCCCGGCTCACGCGGAGAAGAAGTGGAGAAGAGATTTAGCAAACTCCATCGGACACCATCTTTTATGGGACTTTTTTTATTTTCCCAGTCACAAGAACACGTGTCATTAGCGACTCCTCCTGAAACGAGCAGCTGTTCTTTGGCCATTACTGCTCCAAAATTAACCAAGACGGAAGAATTCAATTGCATCCCTCCTCCCAGCCCTGCTGAGTGTGCTCGATTAAGGGATTGAGAGCATCTTTTGCTCAGAGTTCATGGGCATCCTAGTGCCTGAGAAGGCATGCACGCCTTGGGTAAACCATGAGCGCGAACACATAAAACCCCACCGCTGCCAAGGACGGAGCAACCCAGGAGTGAATGTTATCGGCGTCAGCACCGGTGTCTCGGAGACACTCAAAGCTGCTCGGCAGGAAAACAGCCAACAACCAGGAGGGAGGATAATCTCCAAGAAGAGACAGCCCTTCTCTCCCTTCCGTTCTCAATCTCTGCGAGGATATTTCAAGGCCCCCGAAGTACAAAAAAAAAAAAAAAAAGACCAAACAAAAATAAAATAAAGAAACAGGACAGAGGCACAGATGAGGGGCAGCGCGGGGTCACGCGACACCTGCTAGCGATGGCCTTGCACGGCGAGCCTGCAGCTGGGGAAGGGAGGGATCGGCCGTAATTCTATCAGCGGCCACAGTAAACAAATAATAAATAACGTGAACCAGTAAACAAAGCTGAGGCATAATCACGGGCTTTGTCAGAGCTAAAACCGAATCCGAATTTATATCCTCGCCACCAAAAAAAAGTCGGTGCCCATAAATTTACATACCTTTGAGTGCAATGAATGGCCTGTTATTGGAGCCGCGGACAATGCGCTGGCAGAAGTGGTGAAAGCAGCCCTGTTCGGCCGCTCACACCCCTCGTACAGGTGGCCAGCGCGGAGCCCTCGCTGGGCTGCGCTCACAGAGCTGCATTTATCACCCCGCGCGCCGGCCTTACCGGGGACCCCAGGCCCCCGCACCCCACCTTTCCCTCCCGAAAGAAGAGCTCCCCCAGGGTACCGGCGGAGCTCACACCAGGCTTTTCCAGAAGGCAAAAAAAGCCCCCAGGACGCTGTGAAGATGCACAGAACTGCCTGGACAAGACTCTTGTTTCCCCCACGCTTTTTAGAAGATGATTTTTTTTTTCTTTTTTTTTTCAAAGAGGTGAAGCTGGGAGCAGGGCTGGGATGGGAAGCACAACTCAAGCAGACACATACCTGGGATTTTAACCGAATCCTGGTCAATTCTGTTCTCCTCTCCATCCAGGTGCTCCAAGCCCACCGCTTCTGGCTTCACAGGGGCGTCCTCCGTGGCAGACAGGGTGGTGTACGTACTGATAACCAGTATTCCCAGGCCAATCCACAGTATCATCTGCACAATGTGCCAGAGCTTCAGTTAGCACAGCAAAACAACCGGGACTGCTCTGCAGAGCATTCTTCATGCAAACACCGTCTCCAAACAATTCAAAGCTCAGTGCAATTACACATGTCAATACGAGGGAGAAAAGAGGAGAGAAAATTTAAGAGGCGAAAAAGAAAAACCAGTAGTTTCTGGCTGCGGGTTTGTATTTGGATGTAGAGATATACAAATGAAAGTTTCAGAAGCTGGAAGCTGTTGAAAAGGCGACTCCTGTATCAGAAGGGCTCGAAAGCAAGTGGACAGGATGTAAGGAGAGAAAAACGCATGTGGCAGACACGAGTCCAGCTGCAAAGACTCATTCCCTGGTATTTCCAGCAACTACGGTAGAACACCATGAAATCAGGTCGGGCTGAGACCAGAGGTGCCCGACCTGTTTATAGCCTAGAAAGGTTTCCAGGGAGCTGTTTAAAAATTCTTATTTTTGAAGGCAAGAATAAGATGTCCACACACAAGTCCTGTTGGCCAGCATTCAAGAAGCTGATAAGAAGTAACTCACTGATTTCCAGAAAGCTGGAACCAAACAGAATAAAAATAGAAAGGCAGAATCTGGATCCCGTGGAGGGAAGGGCTCTACGAATGTCTCTAGCTCAAAAAGGAGAAAGTGACCACCACCAAAAAGAACATTTCTACAATAAATTGATCTAAAAGGGTCTAGTTCAACATGAGCCGTAAGAAAGACTAAAAAACCCCATCTACACCCCAAAAAAAAAAAAAAAAAAAAAAGGTCACTCGAGGAGGACAAGCAAGGTGATGTGAAGAGGGGCAAAGGGAAGCCTGCTGTCGGTGCCGGCGCTGCCCAACGCCTGCCTGCTCCTCCCGGCGAGCGCGCTACCAGCTCAAGGAGCCGAGCGGGTGGATTCTGGCCAACAACGCTGACTGGGGACGTTTAATTAAACTCCAATGGATTATTTTTACCCAGTTCATCATCGCAGTTGTCACAGTAAGGGCTTCTCGTGGAACCTGGTTTGCGTGTCGATGCAACAACGGCGCTGTGAACGACTGTCAGGAGAAAGTCAGCAAGAGTTTGAGCTGAAGGAAACAGGCGAAGCAGCAGCACCCTCTGCTAAAAACTTGTGCCCCCCCACAAGCTCCTTTTCACAACAGACCGTGGAAGCAACAGAAACCATCACACACGAACCAGAAAACGCCTCTGCAGCGCTGGGAAGCTGATAGTTTGCAGCAAATTGGTATTTATGATGCGGCAATGCCCCCCCTCTCCCCTTTTATTTTTATTTTATTTAAGTACATGTCGTTCTCTGGAATGCCAGGGACCTGCCTAATTTCTGCAGCTCTGCATCCAGCAGCAAAGGACCCAAGACAAGGCCACAAACTGCTCCTTTGCTTTGCACCTCGTGGCCGCCCCGCGCGACGCTCCGAGCTGGCAGGCAGCACACCGCTGCTCCTCCTCTGCTCTTTGCCTCCTGCCACTCCCGACCCCGCCGCGGGAGGGCTGACTGCAGCGAGGACACTGCCTTTTCCACCACACGCCTAACGAGAACAACTTGCTCTGCTTCACGAGGCACTCGGGTAAAAGTCTTGATCTGCCACGGGAAACTGCTGCTTTGCGACACGAGCTGGTTGCTGTCCAGTAGGAACCACAGAAGCTGCCCAGCCCCTCTGCAGCGCCCCGAGTACCGGTGATTCTGGCTCGGGCTGTGAGACCAGCTGACGGGAGGACCACATCCCACAGGACTCACCCTCCTCCCCCAAAATCCCTACCCTGCAGCATTATACATCACGATTCAGGAAAAAAACGCAACAAAAGGATGCTACTCTGTGAGGAAAGCCAGGCACGGGCGCAGGAGAGCATTGCTACAACTGGAATCTGCCAGAAGAAGAAAAAAAAAAATTTCAAAAACCAAAACAACAACCAAAAAAAAAAAAAAAAGTGAAATTGAAAGGAGAAGTTAAACCATTGGCACCTCCAGGGGAGGGAGGGGAGGTTAATATTTGCCTCTCCTTCCCTGTCTTCCTCTCCTTCCCCGTGCTGAGGGAGATGGCCCAGAAACGGGCCAGCGCGGTCAGAGCCTGGGGCCCAGGAGACCCCGCTCTCAGCACAGCCCCGCAGACAGACAGACGCCGTCAGAAGGAAAAGGTTGGCGGGACGTGAAGCTGCTCTGGACAAGGGGCGAGCGGCGTGGCCAGGGAGCAGAGGCCAGCCCTTAGAGACGTTGCAAAGGAAACAGAAGTAAAATCTGCTCCTTGCCTTGCCGTGTGGGTGCACAAAGAGCAGATATCCTGCCACCCCGCTCGGGCCAAAAGCGGAGTCAGCAGGTCCCTGCCACTGCTGCCCTTGGGCTTGGAGCTCGGCCACTTCCTCCCCTCACACAATCTACGGCCCCGGCAGAAATGCATTTTGCAACTGGAAAGCTGTTCTGGCGTCTTCCAGAAACAACAGTGGAGAGGAAGAACGTTTCCATAAAGAGGATCTATTCTGGTGCCACAGGAACTAGGAGCAACGTGGGAGAGAAGGGAACTGTAGGAAACGGCTGAAAACATTCATGTTTTAAAAGGATTTTTTGTCGTTTCTTATCTTAGTGGGGAACATTGGGCTTGAACGCCTCAGATTCAAACCTCTTCGATTGTTTAACATTTGGAGTTCCTCCGTGAGCTTCCCAGAGCAGCGGGTACGGGCACACGTGGCAGCCCACGAGCAGTCCACAGGCTGGGCTGTCCGTGACCCAGCAGCCGTCCCTCAGCCTCAGCCCCCGCTGTCAGCACACCTCCTCCTCCTCCTCCTCACCGACCCCGTCAGCAACCGGAGACCAGAATAAAGAGGTCCACAATTTGGCTTAATTCCACTTACGACACAGAAAACTGGGCGGTTTGTACTCAAAGGGACTGCCAAGGCTAATCCAGCAATCGAAGGAAGAGGAACGTGGGGTGCAAGGACCCGGTGGCTCGAGGAACCAGACATGGGCAGAGGAGCCACCTCCCCCCAAAGCGTCCAAGAGCTGAGAACCTGGAGCAAGGGAGAGGGACAACACTGCCGAGCAGCGATAAGGCAGTGCCTGGTCCCAGAGGAAGGATCTCCCCCACGCCTCTGAAAAGCAGAGAGCAGAGACCCTCGTCCAGAAGCGCCTCTCAGCGAGGACACGGCAGGAGGACGCGCAGACCCCTCCGGCCGCAGCCTCCTCTCGTGGCAGGTCAGCAAGGCAAGGGCCTGTCTCCCGAGAGCGCTTTGAGCACGGACGGGAATTCGGGAGGGGAAGTTTACGCGGCCGTTTCCTCTGCTGCTCGCTTTCCCTCGGCCGTCCTTCCTCCCAGAAGATAACTCGAACTTTGTACAGCAGTGTCATTAGCTCAGACCATCTCCTCTAACCACGCCCGAGCCAACAGCGGGAAACTGCATTTGTGTGGAGTGACGACATCCTCCAAACTGCTGTCTTGGACACGGAGCGTTTGGAGGGACAGAGTCATGGCGAAGGAATGCAGAGCCCCGGTCACTGCCGGGTCCTTCGCGAGGCCGCGGCAGAGCTGCCCTGGGCGAAGGGCCGTGCTGACCGAAAGCGCCCGCGGTGAAGGTGCACTGTCCGCGCGGCCAGGGGAGGGCACAGGGGAATCTCTTTTCCATCCGCACAGGAGCGAGACCCAGGGGTCATTTCCTGACCTCGAGCAGCTCCTCTTCCCCAACTGGGACAACAGCAACTCCGGCCTCCCTAGGAGGGGCCTCTCAGACAGGCTTGTGTCAACACTGGGAAGCCAACACCTTCCTGTTAGAAGTTAAACACTGTTTACAGACCTCAACGCGACCTCCGGCAGCGCCCTGCCAAACCTCACCCCGTGCCCCCTCTCACGGGGAGGGCAGCGGGACACACGGACCCGCATCTTCACACGAACACGCCCGACGCGTAACCACAAGAAAGGGAACGCTCTCCCCAGTTCGTTCGCGGCGCTGCACGCCTGACTTCAAGCTTTTTAACTGCTCTGTTACCTGATTGTCTTTCCAACTCAGCAGCGAGTTTTTCACCCGAGCCACCCCCCAGCCAAGCCCGAGCCTCCAGCCCCCGGCCCGTTGGCCAGCGGCTGCGATAATTAACAACTCGCTGGCAGAAGCTGCCAGTGCTCTTCGCTGGCCAGCAAACATCTGGGACTGCCCATATCCCTCCCCCTGGAACCCTCTTTACTCCTTTTAGTGCAGCCTCCCCTCAGCTTGCACCACCTTCCCAACTTGGTAGATCTGAACTCCCTGTCTCGCCAGACCCGTAAGCTGCCCACCGCGGGGCTCTGCTGGATGCCCGGTAACAGCAGCCCGTTTCTGAGCAGCAGCACTGAAAGATTCGAGATAATTCAGGCAACTCTAAGAGCTGGCGTTGAGGTCTGCTGCTTTGGAAGAAAACTAAAAATGAGGGAGGGAGGGAGAACACAGGCGTACATTGTTCAGACAGGGAAAAGCGGGGAGGGACAGCTATGCCCAGGGCTGGCTCCTTCTCCCCCTCGACTGCCACTTCTCACAGGAGCGTATTTTGATGGAGTGGAGCGCCTGATCAAAGAAAAGCAGGAATGAAGGAGGAGACCAAAGATGGAGCTTCAGGGAAAGAATAAATGAGTCTTTGCAGAAGACCTGGAGGAACGACGAGAGGGTGGGCCCAGGAGTCGGCTCCAGAGGGGAGGCGGGGAGGTGCTCTGCAGCCGGGCCGTTCCTGAAGGCAGGTGTGCCCCCGCTGCAGCGCTCCAGAGCATCGGTCAAAGCAAGTATGTAAACTTGACAGGCGATGGATCATTCAAGAGAAAGCTGGACAGCTTGCTACCAGCCCCTTGAAATGCCAGGGTAACCTGGGGGCTGATGCTTTAGATAAGCCTTTATCCCTTTGTGGGGATTTCTGCAGGACAAACATCTTCACCAGCCTTGTGACCAGCGTTTCGGGTCAAGCATTGTGAGAGCCTCAGTGTTCAACCCCGGGCAGCTGACAGTTGCCTCTGGGCAGGCAGTCTAAGAGCTCAGCACATCCTAAGTGCAGTTTCAAGGCACTGCAGAGAAACGTTCTGGCTCAGCCGGAATAGAAAGCAATTCTTGAAAGTGCTCTTTGTTTCCCTGAAAAATCCAGGCTGGCATTCAGACTCCTGCTTGGGGTTTCAGTCAAAGAAGTTAGGACCAAAGTGTCAGAATTCAGAGCAAAAGCTGGAAAGTTGGACTATTTCCTTGTGTCAGAGAAAGCACGGGGAAAGAAAAAAAAAATACACCCTGCTTAAAAACTTCATGTACGTTTGCAAAGCCACAAGTCATTAAACACAGAAAAAGCCATTAGTTCTGTAGGACCCACAAAAATGTCGTGCTCTCCCCCTGCTGACTCTGCAGTTTGCCCAAAACCTTATTCCCAGCCCAGCACCGTCGTGCCTGGTAATGCGGGGGCAGAGGCCTGCTAAAAGGCAGTGGATTAAGTTATTGTTAGAAAAAAACAAAACCTGTTAATTTTAGCCCCACATAAGCAGAGTGTTTGCAGGAGCAGAGAGATCAAGCCCAGCAAAGAGCCACTTTGTTTCAGTCCCCGAGGAGGCCAATTCAAACTGGAGCAAAAGGAAAAGCTAAACTTCTTACAGCCTCTGAGCGACCCCAATTTTTTAAAGATCAATTCCTGAAGCAACACCTCTATGTGTGTGTTCCTTTTTATTATTATTTTGGTTGAAACCAGAAAGCTGAGGGTCAGCAGCGAGAACCGCATCGCTGAGAAACCGTGTTTATTTTGCCCAGCCCGGGCAGGTTGGGATGTAAGGCCCGTTAAGGTTTTATAGGCTGCCTGGATTTCCCATTCTGCAGACAGAGAACCCAACGCCCACCAGAAGGCGGGGTGGAAGCAGCATTTTATGCACCAAATGAATGTTTCACTCGCTGCTGGAAGGACAAAAAGAGCTGGCATTCCAGCACTGGGCAGGCCACGCACCGGGCCAGCACCTCCTCCGCTGTGTCTGCGTGCCCACTGCTCAGAGCAGCCGACCAGAACAGCTCCCACTTGTACTGGGCAGACTGGAGAGGGAGGCTGGAGGAGGTGCTCAACAGTTTCTGCGCTGCAGTCAAACTAACTACGTTCCCAGGCTCTGCAAGAGGGCTTAGGGGAGATGTCAAGCAGCATCAGCACTGACCTGTGAACAAAGTGCATTCTTGTGGATCTTCTTGTAAATAAGAGCCGGGCAGATAAAACAAATGAGGCTTCCCATCGTAGCACCTGTCAGGCCCAGGACTGTTTCCACTGGCAAAGAAGAAGAGAAGTCAGCAAAGGGCCCTCCCAGGACTGCCAGAGCAGCAGCACGTGGCAGCTGGCTGAGCCCAGGGGCAGGCTGGGGCACGAGCCCAGCGAGCCCGGCCATCCCACCCAGAAAAGCAAATAAAAGAGACCAGAGAAAAACCACCAAGCAACCAGCCCTCGCTCCCAACCCCTCGCTCACCGTTCGGGATCATGATGCCTCCTACCATGGTTCCAAACACAACAGCCAACGTCAGGGCTTTGAACCGAAGCGGGGGCATGTAACCCCCGGCGGCGAAGGTGCCGTCTTTTTGCTGGAAGAGAAAGGGCAGGAGGGGGAACAATGAGTTTAGCTCCTGCATCCCGACCCCGCAGCCCCCTAAGAAATCACCCCAGCAGGCTCCAGCAGCTTCGTCACCTCCACACTACGGTCTCCGCGGAGGTGAATGCTGGGGGCGGGGGGGGCAGTTAGACACGGTTGAGCAGTTTTCATATGCAACTGCATTTGAACCTTCGAAACAAGAGTGACAGGGGGCACAGAGCCAAAGCTGCCAGTTCCACCCTGCCCCAAATGTGAACCGCACAGCTGTATCCCAGTCCCTGTGCCAGCGCTGCAGCCGCCCAGCTCGGCGAGCAGCCCCAAGGCCAAGGGCATGAGAAAGGAAGGCAGGAGGGAGAACGGTCACAGGGGGACGAGCTCTGGTTTCGCTACAGCGAGGTGTCCCCCAACACCGCCAGGAGCAGGGCTCCTCCCGCCGTGTTGTAACACGTGTGCCAGCTCCTCCAGCCTGACGGAAGACACCCCAGATGAACAGCAGAGACGGGGATGGAGCTGCCCATCCTGGAGGGTTCCCAGTTGCCCTCCGCTCCCCGTCGGCGCCCTCCAAGCGGGAGACACGGAAGGCAGAGGACCCAGCGAACCCACACGCCCTGGAGAGCCAGCAGATCTCCGCTCTCCGGGCTGCACAGATGGGAGAGGAAAGCAAAGTGGCAGGTTCAGAGCCCAAAGAGCAACAAACTGAGCCCAGGGGGGAACCAAAGTATTCCCAAGCGTCTCCAGCGCTCACTCCTCTGCACCCGCTGGCTTTCACCGATTGTCTTTCCCCATCCTCAGGCCCTCCCGACGTGAGAAAAGAGCTGGGGGCTTCTCACAGGCAGAAGTGGCAGGATTTAGAGCTATAAATTGCTCAAGTTTTATTTCCTGCCCTAAGAGGTTTCTATTTATGCAGATACACAAAGGCCTCAGAACATTCCCACAATCTCTTACTGTTATTTACTGAATACCATCGGCATGCTTAGTGCCGTACAATACACAGAGGAGAACACGCTACTGCCACAAGGGACTTACAGTCTAAATCAGACAGACCAACTATAGTCACAAAGGCTGTCTGAAGATCTGACCCTGGGAAAGGTGAACGTGTGGGAGAGGGCTGTATCCCACCCCAGAGCCCCACCGAACAGCCAGGGGAGGCACCAGAGGAAGGGGACATCCGAACCCCGAGGGGACAAGGCGGCTCAGGGGGCTACTGACAAAGGTGCAAGGATGAGAATAATAATAAAAGAGCAGAAATGAGCAGGCACACACAGAAGGGAGAAGCAACGAGGCTGGGCTGGGTTCTGAGGCCAGGAACAGAAGCTTGAGCTAAATGCAAAGCAAGATCGAGTTGGCCAGCAAAAGGATGCCAGCTGGAGCAGCAGGAAATAAGGAGGCTCCTCTCTTTCCAAAAGCACATTTCTCCCTCTTTCCGAGGGGGAGAACCACCTCGGCTCTGAACCGCGTAACACTTCTGCGCAGGAGCCGAAAGCCCCAGCGGAGCAGGGAGGCTGCAGCCACGGGGCTCGGGGCACAGCAGAGCAGTAGCAGGCCTCAGGCTCACAGCTCCAGCACTTCTGCCCACGAAATTCCTCGGCAGAGAGGACAAAAACCTCAAAGTACCAGAGATTAACCGTTCTGCAGAGCAGGATCTGCCCCAGGCCTCCTGCTGCACCGTTACCACCCAGCAGGCGCTTACGGTTTCGCTGTGAGTTGAGGGTTTGTCCCTCTGGCCAGCGAGTCCCTACCACGAGTCAGAAACACGCGGATGTCAACGGAGTCTCACAGACCCACGTTTGTCACCCGGGTCAGCAGCAGAAGCCAAAGAGTGACAGCAGCCCTTCAAAAAAGGCAGTTTCAAAGGTGCACACCAAGGCAGCCAGCAAGAGGCCACACAAGAGGATCTTACCTGCTGCTCAAAGAGAAGGGTGTTCAGCGCCTGTCTGCACGGAAGGATCATCATGGGGAACCCCACAGCTACCGACATCATGAACCCCACTCGAATCATCTCCGTCACCAGGTTGGAAGGGAAATTCATGAGGACGTTCCCAGCAATGGCTTCAGTGTAACTCACGTAGCCAAAGAAGCCGACCTGTGCGGCAAGAGGGGAGGTGAGGGGCTGGCGTTTGACTCCAAGGCACGTTCATACCTGCTCTTTACAAAAGGGTTGAGGACAGGGACCCCCCCGTGAGGTTGGGCCAGCCAGCCAAGGAGCCAGCGTGGGGCCCCCTCCACGGGAAACCGGCCAGCAGCCGCAGCACCCCCAAAAGTTGAGACAGGCGCTTAACGAAGAGCGAGACCTTCCTAAAAGCAGAGGCAAGCTTCTCAGCAAATACAGGGGGCTTTCACAGAGGATGTCACAGCGAGGGAACGCTGCCACTTCCCCGTGACACAGAGCAGCGACGCTCTGCTTGCTGCCAGGCCCAGCGCAGGAGGAGCCGTCAAAACTCCCCCCAGCAGCCTAGCTCACAGGGCAAGGCTCTTCTCAGGAATCATTAACTCATTTTCACTAACTGGTGCTTTACAAGGCACAGGTTCCTTCACTTCTTTCCAACTGCAACAGGCTGTAAGAAGCTCTCCTAAACTGCGGGGAGCACCTCCAGCTCCAGGCTGGGCCCGGGAAGGCAGACAGCAGGCTGACAGACAGCACTCTGCCTCCCCCCGAGGAAATGTGCCACGTGGAAAATCTGGACTCTCCAAACGCCTCCTGCACTCTTGGGTTCATCATCTCCCATCTAATTTTGCTTTCAGCAAAATGACTTATCTTTCAGAATAAATACAGATAAGCAGAAAGCAGCTCCAACTGAAGATTAATCATCATCCCTGTTGCCCTTCCAGAGCGTGACTTCTGGCAAGGGAAGAGAAGGGGAAGTTTCTTACCGTAATGTAAAAGGTGGTGACCACGTGGAGGGAGGAAGCAAATATGGAGCTCATGATTTTAACAGACGGCTCATCCAAGCTATCATAGGTAGGCAAGACCTGACTGTAAAAAAAAAAAAAGAGTATAAATTATTTAAGGAAATCTCCTGCAGAGAGAGAAAAACCCCAACTAAGTCCAGCACGTTCGCTGCCTCAGCCCAGCAGCAAAGAATCCCTGACACCTTCCCCCTACGGAGCATAAACACTCGCTGCTATTCCACAATTTATATTGCTAATGCCAAGAGATTTCAGAGCACTCATAACTTTTAAGTGTTGCAAAAATATTCCTGTTCTCCCCACCCCACCACGTGGAGCTCAACGTGTGATGTAAACATTTTGGTTCGAAAGCGTTGCAAAATGAATGACCGTTTGTTCCAGTGAAACACCAGTGGCACGGGGCCAGGCAGCGCATTGGAGATTATTGTTCTTGGAGCTCTCCACGCTGATAATTAAAGCAACGCAGTGTTTACAGAGTAAAAGCAGGAAGAAGGTTAGAGCATCACACTGTCTAAAAGAAAAGTTAAACAAACAAAACGGAACGCGGCGCCTGTCGTATTTCAGGGCTGCCGCTGGAGCTCAGTTCATCGAAAGCGCCAATTAGACGGGATTTGGGGTATTTACAGACTTCGAAAGCGTGCGGAATGGACTTTTTGACATCAGGTGCATATTTTAGCAACTCATTAACCTCTTGTTACTTGAATTAAAGCGGCTACATCCTGACTCCGTGTTACTGAAGTAACTCTGGTGAGGAGGGGGGGAGCATCCACTTAGACGGGAAGGGGGTATCCCCAGCTCCAGTGGGCACAAAGCCATTAACAAAAAGTGTGTCAGGCTGAGGCTAAGCAGAAAAATCCTTAACTCTTAATCCGTTAATGTCAAATGGTTCCGCACAAAGGAAGCCGAGCACATCGGCTCGCAGGAACCCCCGAGACACGCAGGGTCTGCGAACGCAGCAGCTGCAGGGAGCGAGGAGACCGGCTCCCCCCACAGCCTCTCCACTTCGGATCCCCCCCCTGCCCTCAACGCGGCGACCTCCAGACTTCAGCCCCACGAGGGGAAGGGGACCGGCCAAACACGCAGGCCCAGGAAGGAGGAGGGGGGAAGCAAAGAGGCTGTGCAGTGTGTCAGGGGGGGCACAGCCAGGCCAGGTTCGTGTCAGCGCAGGAGCAACGGCAGCGACAGGGGGGAAAGCGCCACGCGACGTCCAGCTGCACTCCCACCATGACCTGGTGGCACCGTTTGCTCACCGTGGTTTTGGAGGACCAGCACGACGTCCCTCAAGCCCCCACGACACGCTGCCAGGCCCTCCCGACCGTCACCACCTCTCAAGGCAGAGCGAGAGGATAAGGAACATGCAACAGGCAGCGTGTCCTGGCAGGCCCGGGATTTATTTTTAAGCAGAATGACCACACTGAAGGCCCCCGAAGGATCAGGGAGCCTTCCCCGCGTCATCTGTGCACCTCAAAGGAGGCACAAGCAGATGGTTCCTCCTGAGCGGACATGTCAGCACAAGCAGGCTCGGAGAAAGCAGCCTTGCTCCAGAGTCACCGCGGAGCGTCTGTTCTTCACCTCTGCTGCAGGAACCCCTCGCACAGGCTCTGCGAGCGCAGCCCTGACACGGCCAGCAGGCACCTGACGCTCACAGGGGCAACAAACAGCCGCCTGACTTCCATCATCCCCGTGATTTCAGCATTCCCACATCCATCTGCACCAGAATAGCCGCCTCCAGAAATGAGAAGTTTTCTCCTGGAAAGCTCCACTGACTCCTCTTTAATTAGAGGGTTCAGTGACTTGACCAAGGTCAGGCAAGGAGGCTGCAGCAGAGGGAACCCTGGAGCCCTCACACTCCCAGCTCCCCAGCAAATTTCCACACCACATCACTGCAGAGGAGCGACCTACTTTGCAACTTGAGCAACAACAGGGTAGCTTTTAAGGAGCAGAGGGTATTGAACTCACGAGTAAAGCAGGGGTCAAGTTTTTCAAGCTCGAATAATAGCGCATTTATTTATCCTTACTGTATGCTGCATTTACGTGCTGAAGGAAAAGGATTTCTGCTTTGCGTTAATTTGTTTTTTAAAAAGGTGATTCGGGGTTAGCAAAATTAAACCTAACTAGCTGAGAATAATGTGCTTATAAAGATTGCTGGGGCTGGGGACAGCGGATTGCCCTGATGCTTGGAAAAAATGTGGAGTTTTAGGTTCAGCTTGCCACGTAAGTGCTGTAATGGAGCCTATATTTAGGTACACGCACACTGGTCCAGACCAAATGATTTTCCTGCATGTCCAACTCCCAGCAAAAATGTGCTGGGTACTGTGTGGCTACCGTAAGAAAAAATAAAAAGAAAAGGAATTTAAAAACTCTAAAATGTTAACAAGGTAAAGCTGTAAAAGAATACAACTCCCTTCGCCAGTTGTAATGGAGACATTAAACAGCAAGACTGGAGCGCGTTCGGGTAGGAACCGAGCTGCCAAGAGAGCCGATAAGTGGAAAATGATGATTTGGATCTTGCGTGTGGGTGTAAACACAGCAGTCTGAACAAATTTTATCTGTCACATTCATTTACTGTTGGCATGCTACCCATTTGCTAGAACTACAGGGGGGAAAGCCCGACTCTGCCAGCCTTCCAAATGAGGATGGTCTTTTCCGTGTCCACATTTGGATTTAGACTTCTATTTAAAGTCTGTTGCTATTCTGGCCAGGCACGTATTGCTCACTTGCCATTTTGGTGCCGAAGGTAACGCTGCTGGGAACGTGCAAATAGCCTGGTCTGCCGTCACGTCCTTCCCCGTGCCAGCGGAAACCCTCATTAAAGCGGGTAACTGGAAACGCGTGAACAAATTCTCCAAAGTCAACGACTGTGCCGTCTTCTCAGCACCCTCGAAGAAATTTGGGGAAGCAGAGAGCAGCCGCGAGCGTCCGCTGCCCTGCGGGGTGGGGGGGCAACACAACCCCACTGCCCTTCCCGGTACTAAATCATTCCCTTCAAAATTCGTCGCTTATGCAGCTGTACCAGAAGCAACGTGCATTACACCGAGGATCTGTTTGGCCCAAGTGATCTTGAGTTGCTCGAGCACAATAACTCCCAAGTGAAATATAACTCCCTCCTCCACCTAGGTAACAAAAGGGTCACAACTGAATGAGACGCTGTACTTCAGTGGGCTGTAAAATATTTTGATTAAATTAAAATAGGAAAACAGATGGTATCTATCCCTTGCAGATCCTCATGACCCTCTGCCCTCACAAAAACTCATCGCGCACCACAACTGCCAGAAGTGGGAACGGCAGGTACTTACGACTGACAGGCAAAAGACATGCCAAAGATGGGGATGCAGCGGAAAATGCCCTCCCAACGAGTGTAACTAACTCGCTGCAGCCACTGCCCGCCGAAGAGGCCGTGCTTGAAGGACGACAGCACGATCTGTAGCCAAGAGAAAGGAAAGGGGGTTAAGATCCGACCCCAAACGACTTCCCGGCAGCGGTAAACGCCGGCGCTGGGATAAAAGGCGGCGTGTGGCAGCTCTGCGAGGAATGGCTCAGGCTGCCTACCACAGCCCCACCTCTGTCAGTCGAATCCCCCAGCTCCACACCCCTCCCACACACTTTCTGAAAGCTCCCAGCAACCTCCAAGGGCCCCTTGCCACCAAGGATCCTGGGGTGTATTTTAAAAGTTCTATGACATTTCCCCCCTTGTTTGATGCCATCAGACATCACAGCACGCACCAGGGTGGAACAATTTCCGCTGACACGTTTATACCGGGAGAATTATTGTTCCCAGCAATTTCTTTTGCACTCTTTTAAACACGTTTTTAAATCCAAACGGGAAGCGGCATTTGCCTCATAGAATCCTTTTCAGCGGAGAGAGACAAAGGTTTCTAAAACAGGACCCCACCTGCACGCTGCTCCTCCAGAGCCATTCAACACCACCAGCTCAGCAAAGACAAGGATAAACTTCATGCAAACAGGGGGAGTGAGGCACCCAGAGGAGGCCAGGGAGCTCTTTTGCCACTGACAGGGAAGCTGGCAGGCATTGGGTTGCACAGGAAACAGAAGGTAAATATGTCTGAATGCCTGTTTATAATATCGCCTGAATGGGGGTTTTCTAATCCCCAGAGATTATGTTTTAGTGCAGCCAACTCTCCTGAAATGTTGTGGTTTTCTTAAAGGCACAGCTCCTGGAACACGGCAGTTTTGTAAAAACCCTCATTTACAGCCTCCAGCCTCCTTACAGAGGCAAGCTCAGAAGTGTGACCCAGCACAACCTAGTCAAAAAAAGTTTAAGCGGAAAGAGTTTCCCTCACCTCCTTTTTCTTCCTTTTGTTTCAGCTCTTCCAGTCCCGAAATTTGGGAGAGGTGAGGCTGGGGCTCAGCGAGCAAACCACATGAGCATCCGCGAGGTGAAACTCGAAGTCATTAAAAAGCAAGTGAAAGTCTCCACCCCTCAGTAAATGGTGCCATACAATGGGGCTTGGCCAAGCCAAACAGGGCCGGGTTTAGGTAACTCTCAGCTTACTCTGCTTAATCTAAACGGTCAAGAATCCATTCATCTCAGTGGAGAAAAACTTTTCTAGAAATACCTAAGAACAAGTACAGGCCCGAATACCAGACTTAGGACTTTTACGAAGCTTTCAACGCTGGAAAAATAGAAGTGTTGGTGTCTAACAAATAAAATTACTTGCAGCCTGAAAGACATTAACCATCAGCTGCAGAGAAAAGCTTGCAAAATATAGGCTTGAGCTCTTAACGAGAGCTGCCTTCCCCCTACAGATTAGAAGCACTGAGGTTTTCAAGGCAAAACAAGAATGCATGATGAAAGTCCTTCTGCTTCCAGGCACTCTGCCCCACATCTTCCCTCCTTTGATTCAAAGTTCAGAGCCCTAAATTATAAGACACCAACAAGCAGAATGAACCACAACTCGAATTGTGGTTTATTATTATTTGTGCCACCACGGTCCCTAGCATGTGTAATAGCTTACAGACCCGCTGGCCCGTTCGTACTGTCTGTACCTCCCCAGCTCAAGAGCACAGGCACCCACGTCATTCGTTATGCCCGACACCAGCGGCACTCATTATCAGGAAGGACGTTTTAAACTTGAGGCTTGCACCTGCAGGCTGTCCCAGCGGGAACATCTGGGTGAAAACAATAGGGAAACAGCGTTCCCAGCGTCGATACTCACCACGAACATGAAGACGGTGTAAAAGATGAGAGCCATGGCACTGAAGGACTGGATGGAGGCCATCATGTTCCTCTGGAGGCTCAGGGGAAGCACAATGCACAGGGAGACGGCGAAGAGCAGGACTATCCGGAAACTGCCTGACACCTGGAGAAAAGGGACCTGCATAAAGAACTGGAGCACGGAGGACGCTCAAAACATCCCCCCGAAATCAGTAAAGTAACTCCCCGACGTGCTTGATTTTTCCAGAGTGAGAAACAACGCAAAGCCAGGACAGATTTCCAGTGTGAAATTCTGCTTGTATCGGTATTTAAAGATTTGGTGCCGAAAGCTTGCCATTCCTTTGGCTGGGTCTGTGATTAGCTTATGCAGTCACTGGGTGCCACTGTTGCTCTACACAGTGCGTGACAGGTCCATGCCGAAGTGGAAGTATTGGGGAGGGGGGGGGGGG